GAGAGGGGAGGAACTGGATCTGCTGAAGTAGGGGTGGGCCATGGCACAGCTTCCTCAGAAGCTGATCAGTCAGCTTGGCCTGCAGAGTATCACGCCCTAGGTCCAGCCTGTGGTGACACCATTAGAGTCGGGTATGTCGTCTTTCACACCAAGACAGGCAGAGAGGGTGGGGCCCTCGAGGAGCAGAGTGGACTTGCTGTGTTCTGTTGCCTGGCCGTCAGTGCCTGCTTGCACATAGCTGCCTCAGGTGCTCCTGAAGGCAGTGGGTCTTTAAGGTCAGAGGTGGTCTTAGTTATGGCCATCACTTATCATGGGTCCTTATTAAGTATTCCTCATCCATGGAATCAAGCTTTCCTTCTGTTGCGACTTCTGGCGTGGTCTTTCACACTGAGACTTTTAATCTGCCCAGAACTGAGTGCTTTTCCTGGAAAGATGCTCCCAGCTGCCCAGGACTGAACAGTTGTGCTGTTCCTCTTTCCAGCCCCATCCTGCCTCTGCAGTGTCTGCTCTACTGGAATCTGCTTCCTATCCATAGCTGACTTGTTTCCAGCATTTCTACAGCTTGGGTGGTTCTTTTTGCCAGCTATTTTAGTGTCTCTGGCTTATTATGTCATAATATCTAGTGGAAAGAGGACCCCGTTTCATGAAAATGTGTGGGCTAGTCTAAGTTACTCTTAAATTTAAACATGCTTCCCAAGTTCTAAGCACACCTATAGTGCTGAGAACTGATGTCTATGGAATACTGAGTCTTCTCTGACAAGATGCACTGATTATGGTCCTCTGCAGTCTTTAACAAAATTTTATAATTTTGTATAATCTACATAGAATTTGTACATCTTTTCTAAAAAATCTTCCTATATCCTTTAAATTCTGTACTGTTGTAAATTACATCTTCTCAAATAAAATTTTAGAAATGTTGCTTTTGTGTATTGATTTTGGACTCAGTAGTTTTGAAGAATTTTCTGATTAGTTTTTAAAATGGTGTAGTTGTAGTTTCTGTCATGCTTTCTACAAAATGGTATATTTTCCGCAAATAATGACATCTTTGCTTCTCCCTTTTGAGATTTCATGTCTTATGTCTCACACCATTGCACTTTCCAGAATCTCTAGAATAATGCAGAATAAGAGAAAGTTTGTGCATCTTTGTCATGTCCTGACTTGGACGGAATCTTTTCAGTTTCTCATCCTTGTACTGTTTGTTCAAGGATTTAAAAAAAATAGGAAGGAAATTGAATGCAAGTCAAGTAGTTACTTTTCTTTTCTCTGGAGCTGATCCTCAGTTTGGTTTTGTTGAAGTGTTAATATGATAATTTAAATCAATTTAAAAGTAATAAACCAAACTTGCATTGCTGGTATAACTGAACAGTCATGGGTTTGTTTGTTTATTCTTTCCAGAATTAATTTTGCTAATATTTTGTATAGGAGTTCTGTATTTATGTTCATGAGTGAGCCTGGCCTACATTTTTAAATTGGGCTGGGGATTTAGCTCAGTGGTTCCGCCGCTTGCCTCGCAAGTGCAAGGACCCGAGTTCGATCCCTGGTACCAAAAAAGTAAAATAAAATAAATGTTTAAATTATATTTTCATTTGGCTTTTATCTCTTTGGATTTGTACTTAGGTTATGCTGAGTTTATAAGATAAACTAGTGCATGTTTCTTTCTTGTTCTGTTGTTTGAATGAGATTGTTCAAGTTTGGAACTACCTGTTCCTTGAATGTTGGTAGAATTGATTTCTTTGGGGCTGGTATTTTCTTTCTGAAGAATCTCATAAATACTGCCTGAAGCAAGATTTTACTGGAATGGTTATAGAGTTATTCAGGAATTTAATTTCTTCTTCAGTCAGTTACGATAAAGGATATTTTTAAAGACATTAGAGTATCAGAGCTGGGAGGGGTGGTGCACCCTTGTAGTCCCAGCCCTCTCGGAGGCTGAGGCAGGAGGATAGCAAATTGCAGCCCAGCCTGTGCTACATAGGTAAGTAAGTCCTAGGTCATTCTGGACTACTTAGCAAAACCCTGATTTAAAAAATTATTTTACCCTCTCAGTTTTCAACTATTAATTAATGTTTCTTAAAGCCCTTGTTTAATCACCGCAGCATCTGTGTGGTCAGCCTTTTTATCTGCAGAATTATTACTTATGCCTTCTCTTTATTTTTTGATCATTTAGTATAAGCCCCAAAAGCAACTGCATGTGTATTAGAGGTAGTGCTCAGAAAATTATCACTTACCTTTTGGAGTCACTTTTCTCACGGTTCCTAAATTAATTGCACTGTGAAGAACAATGCATTGTGAAGGGCTTTGTTATTGGTTTTCTTAATTTTCTGCAATTACTTTATGGCTGAACATGGAGTCAAGCTTTGTTGAATGTTCCATAGGCCTAAAAAGAATGTCACCCCCTGGTTATATGTAATGATCATTGTCCATTAGGACACACTTGATAAGTATACAATCCAGCTCTCTGAGTTCTGTGTGCCTTGCTAATTATTGAGGGAGATATGCTACCAGCCTGCCATAAGTGATAGATATGCCCAGTTCTCTGCTAGGGCTTCAATTTTGGCTTATATATTTGGAGATTTTGTCATCAGGTGCATAGAATTTTAATTCTTTTATCTTCACAGAGAAATGATTCTTCTATTTTATACACTTATTTTTAACAACTTTTGTTGCATATTTACAACAATCCTGTTGTCTATAATCCTTTTTTGTTAATGTCTTTTCTACTTATTGACTTTCTGAATACTTATGCCCCTATGTATAATTTTGCAGATACTTAAAAATCTAGTTGAAAAGTTTGGAAGGACTTAGTTCCTTTACTTTTGTTGCAGTGATTAGTTTTTAAAATTCATTTCTACCAATGTACTATGGACTTCCTCCCTGTTTTTCCTTCTCCTTTTTTCAGCTTTGTTTTGGATTACTGTTTTTGGATTAATGTCTTTTTTTCATGCTGCAATTTCCTGTGCACTTGTTGTGTGATAAAAGCTCTGTGCTCCTTCCTCTAGTGGTTATGTCGAGTCTTTTATTTTGCTTGTTAGCAGCGTCTAAAGCCAGGGAACATGTTTTTTCCTCTTGAATGAAATAAGGACCGTGTAATGGTTTAACTCTAATGACTGGTCCCACCTGGATTGTATGATTTTCAAAATTCCGTACTTTGGTTTCCCACCCCTTCCACAAAGCAGGCAGTGCTGTAATATAGAGTTTTCTGTAACTTTACCTCCTTGTTTTCAGTATTGTTTTTCACCATGATTTCTTGGATCTCTAACCTCCCTTCTGCCTAGGCCTTTGTCTCTGTCATTATTATAATGGGTGATGTACCAGTTATAGATTGTCTCAGGTTTTATGCGTGTGACCATGTCTTTACTTTGCTTTAGTTCTGTCTCATTCTGGACAGGATTTTAGTAGAGGACAGCTCTCCAGCTTGGCAGCTGTCAGCTCTGGGCCCATGGAGACTTCTTCTTCTGTCCTGGTCTCCTGGCTGCTATTGGCCAGCACTGCTGAGGCGCGTTCCCATGGACTTGGGCCTGATCCCTGTGCTATCACTGGATTTCTCCTGTGCAGTTGTGCAGCTTCAGGACAATGTGTCTGAGGGTGTGTGTTTATGTGTCAAGTCTAGAACTCAATAGGATTCCAAGACCTGTTGTCTGACAGAGTCTCTGCTGTGATTACTACTATGCTTTCTCAGTCTATTGTTTCCTTTTTCTATTTTCCTGCGCATCAATCAGACATTTGCATTGGACTCTCTGTCTCCTGACCTCTATTTCATTATTTCTCTGTTGCCTCTGTGAGCTGCACATTGGCCCATTTATGAAGCTATTTCCTAAGTTATTAAATCTTTCTGTGTTTCTAACCTGACGTTTAATCCCACCAGTGAAGTTTTATTTATGCTTTTCACTTTTAAAAAGTTCTTATATTTTTCTCCAAATGTCCTGAGTTATGTCTACTTCCAGCTTCTACGTAGGCTTAAAAGTTTTCTCCAAGCATATTATTCATAGTACTTAATGTTGTACATGTTCTCAATTTTGTTATTTTGATTTTCTCAGTTCTCATTCCTGGAGTCTTGATTCTCTACTTGTTCTCAATTTTGAATGTAAACTGATTATATTTTTTGGACTTTTTTCACCTAGGTTTTGGGGTAAGTTCAGAAAGGCAGCACCAGTTAAGACATGATTAAAGTCAGTTCTCACCTTGAGGTTTGGTTTGGTTTAACTTTTTAATCAGAGGTACTGTGATTTTGGAGCCCAAGGTCATGTGTAGCCAGTCAGCCGTTATGGTTCAGGGGAGATCTTGTGTCCTTCCCTCCCACCCAGTAAGTTAAGGACAGGATGTCTCTCTATTACGTCTTGCCTTTGTGCAGCCAGGCTTCTGCCTCCCTTGGTGACCCTGCAGGTATCACCATTTGCAGTCACAGATTCCTGGTCCTAACACTCTGGAGTTCAGGGGCAGATGCATGCATACTGCACAGGAGTTACTGTACTGCAGGGAGGTGTGGGGCTACAGAAGGAGAATAAAATTGTCTTGAGACATGGAGGAGACTGCTCCTTTCTCATTTATACCAGGTGGCAATTGGATCCGTAATTTTCTTATGTAAAAGAAAAAACTAACATTTTGTAACATTGCAACTGGGTAAGATGGAAAATTAGAGGTAATATTTATATTTGTTACATAAGGAAATATTGCTATGGAATTCAGAAATGATAGTTTACACACCATGAACTCTTTGGCAACTTACTTAATACTAAGAGGCTTATAATTAATTAGGTTTAGAAATAAAACAAAAACTGCCATAACACGAAATAATTTAATAGGAGCAAAGATGGCTGGGAATTCAGGAACTCGGTTTCAGGTTTGGTTTTTTATTTTTAAATGAAAAAGGGAAAGCGAATGAGTAGGGAATGGAGCCCTCCTCCAACAGGGTGCTTTCGCCTTCTCTGGGGAGAAGGTTCTGAGGGCGGTGCGTGGGGACCCAGTATCTCCAGTCACTGAACCTGGACTCCTTCTTTCCTCACTTGGAATATGGCGCCCTTGGCTCTGGCTACTTGAGACGGAAGCAATTTCGATTCCTCTTCTAGTGCCCAGATCCTGATGGAAATCTCCGCCATCCTCCATTGTTGTTGGAGGAACCGTTTGGACTGCTCTTCTTTGAGCTCTCTGAGGAGAAAGCATTATCTGCCCTCGAAGCTTGGCTCTTTCCCCGGACACCTGCTCATAGGCCGCCTCCCAACACTGTGCTTCCCTGGCCTCCTCCAGGCGGGCCTCTTCGACAGCTGACTCCAAGGCTTCGTGCTCCTTTTGAAGTTGGCTGACCTTGTCCAGGAGTCGGCATTTTTCCTGAATGAGTCCAGTGCCAGCTGTTTTTCTCTCCTAACCGCAAGCCGACTTCTAATGGAGCAAGAAATCTTTCATAGAAGCAGGACAAGAGCCAAAAGACCCACGATGGCTGGAGCCTCCATGGCCAAGGCCGCTTGGGCAGCTGCCTCCACCTCAGAGTACTGGTCAGAAGGCTGGGCGTTTGGTCCAGAGGCTGGCAACAGGAGCGAACCACCTCTGAGCCAGCTGGTGGGTGTGTGTGTGTGTGTGTGTGTGTGTGTGGCTGTTGAGTGGAGCACTTGAGGAAGAGGCCCTGGCGAGCATCCGGGTCTTAGCTCTCCAGAGGCGGGGAATCCTCGGGGTCCCTCATCATGCTTTCTATCCTGGAGAGGCACCGGTCACACACCTTCCCCATGATCCTGCGATGCATCCTCTCTAAGCCACCCCTCCCCTCCCTTTGGTTCCTGCTCGGCTGTTGCTGCTTGGAGTTGGAGGGAGGCAGAATCACTTTTCAGACTCTTAACAGTAAAGAATGAATGTCTAAGAAATAAATCTTGCAGAGACTCATAGCATGCCCTATGAGTAAATATCTTGTAATGTCAGTGAAATCATCTTGATAATGAAAGAATGTTTGCTTACAAAATGATGTGTTTGATGCTCTCAGAATTAATATTTTGATCTGAAAGCTGCAGGTATCTATGGCACTGTCTTTGGCTCTGTCTGGTGTTGTTCATTCATCCCAGAAAGATTGGTGCCAGAAAGTGCTAGGGAAAGTTGGTAGCTCCTGCATTGAATTACAGATACTTTGAGCAACTTGATTAAATGTGCTGCAAAACTGCATGTCATTAGAAACTATTTCTCCAGAGAGCTAAGAAAGATTGAACCAGTTTAAGCAAAGAGCTTCCAGGCGCCCCAAACCCTGCCCCTAGCTGAGATTGGGAGGCAAAGGTCACCTTGGCTGCTAGGAGGAAAGCTGTTCTTTGTCTACTGCTCCCCCTGGTGGATTCCCAGGAGTCAGAGCTTTTGAGCAAGGAGCAGAGTGGAAGGGTGGATGCCAGGGGAGGTGGCACAGGGGTGGCTGGGGTCTCCTGCCGCTCTTGAGACAGCCCCCTCCCTGCTGTGGCTTGGGAACGGACCAGGATTTGAGGAGCTGCTTAGCCCTCCACAGGGTGGGAGCCTGGGGGGCTGCCACAGTGCTGTCACTCAGGGCTGTGGCCTTGGGCAGCTTTCCAAGCCACTTCAGTCCCTAAACATTCCTCCTGTCGACTTCCCAGAGGACCATTGGAAAACCACGTAAAATTTCATTCAGTGCCAGATTTGGCCCAGGAGTTCACAGGTGCTGGAGGAATCTGGGTGGTAGAGGGGTGGGAGGTTTCCAGGGAAGATGAAGGAAGTTGACTTTTCTTTATGTACTCAGTGGGTCTGGAGCAGGTCTAGCCTAGGTTTGGTCCCCTGAGTCTTCCTCCTGCCTCTTGCAGTCACTTTCCTTTGGATGCTGGTCACCTTTCCAAACCCTCCTCCATACTGTGTGGACCTGGATGATGTTGTAAAAAGGAATAGCTTCTCATGAGGAAGCCCCCACGTAGTGTCTATCAAAGGGCACCCCATTTCCTGTGGGGTATAGACAGGTGCAGGCAGGATGGCTGGCTTCATTAAGAAAGGATTCCTCTGCCCTCTGTGTCGCCCTCTGGAGCCCTGCCATTGGCTTCCTGGCACTGGATTACTGGAATGCTTCCCATGCTTCTTAGACCTACAGTACTTCTCTTTTCTCATATTCCTCCTCTTCACTTGGCCCTCTCTCAAAGTTTCAGACACAGGAGGGCTTCATTTCCTCCAAAAATCAGTCTGTGAGTGACGTCCTTTATTTCACCAAAAGTTCTATATTTTTCATCATTTCACTTAATTATCCATAACTAGGTTAGTTATTTTAAGTGGAGTGTTCTGAAGGCTAAGTTGAAGTCTTGAGAGGAAGAAGGCAGCAGAACCTAGAGCGGTGTGATGTGATTGGAGAGGAGGGAAGGGAGTGGGAACACAGAGGGAGAACTGCATAGGTCAGGAAAAGTCTTATCTCAGAGGCAGCCAGACATCCAATCCTTGTTTATTTCACCACTTTCCCTGTCGTAGAATCCTCTACTTCAGTCAGGTGAAGGACGTGTCCGAACATGGGGCTGAGGTGAAGT